TAATAACACTTAAAAATCCAACCAGTCTTCAGACTCGCTGGTAAAGTATCTTACAGAACTAATCTCCTGCTTTGTCTGGATAACTGTCGCTGTTTTTGACAATTCTGAAGGCGAGAGCCTCTGAAGAACCAAGATCGCGCTTTGTAACTGGACGGCCAGCCTAAGTCAGCAAACAGCACACAACTCCAAACAAAATGACTCTCCTATACCGCTAGTTGTTAAAACGTGGTTTTAGCATTAAAAACTAATTCAAAGGATCAAATATAACAAACAAGAAGAAGTATCATGCATATTTTTTCCAACTTAAAACCATACAAAAGGCCGATGTCTTCATATGGAACATATGAAAGCGCTTGGCAGCTTAAAGTTGATGACCACTGACCAGTTACTGTGATGTCACGAAAACGTATTTCCGCGGTGTCGGTTGTATATCCCAGTAAGAAACATGATTGCGTATGGTTAGCATTCAAGTCAAGACTGTGTAATTGTTATGTTGTTTATATTTGTTCAATTTCCTTTACGTGTCTTCACTTGGTAGGTTTTTGGAAGCAGAGGGTTTGGAGAAAACCTTTAAATTCAAACAAAGAGATATTGCAAATGCTGTTGATGTTGCAAGTGCCAAGAAGTCTTTTGAGCTTAAACTGGATACATTTGGACCTTATAGAGTAAATTACACCCGTAATGGAAGGTGAACAAAACTTCTTTTTAAGACATTTTGGCCACATGTAAATGCTTACTTTTTTTCCTCGTTTTAGTTGAAGCTATCTAATATCAAAGGCTTCTATAACTGATCTCTTTGTAGTCACTATCTTGTTAGCTGAATCAGAAGATTGAAAGCATTCAGGCAAAAGGTTGAGGGTTAGAACCAGAAAAGCTTTGTGAAATGCTATTAGTAGAAAAGTACTGGTACTCTTGAAAATCACAGCATGAACTGGATGGTACTAAATAAGTTAACATTTTTTTGAACTTTTAGATTTCTTCTTATTGGTGGGAAGAAAGGTCATCTGGCCACGGTGGACTGGGAGAACAAGAGACTTGGCTGTGAATTCCATGTACAAGAGACTGTGCGAGATATCAGGTAAAGTTCAATCTGAAAGTCTGTAGCACTGGAAATTTTTAATGATCATTTTTTTAAACAAAGATTTCTGATGCTGCTTAATTAGAGTTTAAAACTTTCTGCTGTTCATTGAAATATGTTTTATCTAATTTTTTTTACTGTTTCCTATGTGTATTTTTCAGATGGTTGCATATTGAAACTATGTTTGCAGTTGCCCAAAAGAAAAATGTCTTCATTTATGACAATAATGGAATTGAACTTCATTGCCTTAGGAATCACAACCAAGTTAACAGATTAGAATTTTTACCCTATCATTTTCTTCTGGCCTCAGTGGTAAGTCACTGGCTATCAATGAAATTGTCAAGAGTAAGTGGAAAACTGTTACTGGGATGAACACAACTTGTAATTTTGCAGCCCTTATTTTAACCCTTAAAATCCCAGAAGTGACTAATACATAACTTCTCTTGATATTAAATATCCTAACATTACCCAGCAAACAGGTGACAAGAATACTCAAACTTATCAGTTAGAAGTTATCTTGATCTAGCATGTAATTCTTGTAACTAAAATACAGTGGAACTTCAATTTAATGGAGTGCCAAGGTACTGGGGAAATTGGTTCATTATATTGAGGGTTCGTAATATCGAGGTTCTGTGGCGTACATTTTACTGTAACTTTGGCTGGGCTGAAACTGAAGTATCGTTTGTTATACTGAGGACTTTGTATATAGAGGTTCGTTAAATAGAGATTCCACTGTCCGAGGAAATGTGTAGCAGTCAAAGAGGAGAATTAACAATCAGATTTTGGGAGTAAAATGATTGTTTAACAAGGTTCTGTGTCAGAAGCTAATATTGTAAACTCATGAATCTCCCAAGCTGAATTTTTTTTTCAAATGGCCCTTTTTCAATTTTTTCATCCTTTTACACTTCTTCATAGGGTGACCATGGAATTCTCAAATATCAAGATGTGTCTACAGGCAAATCAGTCGTCGAATTGTTTTCCAAACTTGGGAAGTGTGATTGTATGACGAAAAATCCATACAATGCAGTCATTCATTTGGGACACTTCAATGGTAAAGATAGTTGTACGAACTAATATTATTAATTACTTTCATTGCAATATCATAAAATGGGGGAAATTGCATGGAATTGACTCATCTGTTACTATAATTGTAATATTTTAAACCATACTATAGAAATCTTGTCTGTCCACAAGCTATGGATATAATATTTATTATTATACATTGTAGTCACCATCTGTCTTCTCACTGGCTAAATGCCCACAGTTAATTCTGGGAAACAGCGCAACCTACAGATTATTCACTAATCTGTACCTACAGATTAGTGTCTGAATAGTCTGTTGGTTGCGCACGCAATGCATGATTTCCAGTGAAGCAGTGTCAAGTTCACGGACAGCGAAGTAAGAATGGCTTCTTGATTCGCTTCATCGACCTAGTGAGAAATTGAGAAATTACTTGAAGATAAAGATTTGGAAAATACTAAAAGGTCGACAAAAGTGGCAAAGGAACTGTTCTATGAATACCTCAAAGAGAAAAATATCCAGGAGCCACACGACAAAAAGGAATTAGCCCAAGTGAAAGTTTGTTTACAACACAGTTGTACATTTTTAAGTGTTCAAAAATAAACTGTGTTTGCTGCGATAATGCATTTGGCATTATTTTCTTTGAAACAATTTATAATAAAACAATTATTAGATGAGGTTTTTGTGATATCCGGAATAAACAGGTCTCGGTTAGTGTTATAACACTTACCTCGACCTTGATTATTCTGGATATCACGAAAACCTCATCCAGTAATTGTTTATGATAAGGATTTCTATAGCGCCCTGTCTGTAAGGTCATGGCACTTTACAACTGAATATTTCAGACCAAAAATTTTGTAGTCTAAGATTAAAAATTACATCAATAATGAAGCACAAGTATGTTAAAGTACAAGTTAAAAATTCATATCTAAAAATTAAGATTGAAATTAAAAATAATGATTAAAATTTATATTGTAATATTTAGGCTACTTACATTATTCTAACAGAACTTTAACTAAAATGTTCTTTGAAGGAGAAAGTCTTAGTTGAAGTTTTAAATTTTGATATAAAAGTATCTTGGTGTGGTTTTCAGGCACAGTTACAATGTGGGCCCCAAACACAAAAGATCCTCTTGTTAAGATGTTGTGCCACAGAGGACCTGTACAGTCTATTGCTATTGATAGTACAGGAAAGTAAGTAAAATGTATTGAGGAACCTACCATAATTGCTTACAGGGCTGAAAAATATATCTAACTTACCCTTTGGAATTAGATTGATATATGGCTTGGCTTGGTTTTTTTTGCAATGAGAAAGTGAGAAAGAAAAGTTCTTTACCTAGCAGGTAATTAAGTGTTCTTCTCATAAATTGTTCCAGTCTGTGGTACATAAATCTTTTTCAACCAGAGATTTCTTGATAGAAAGTTATGCACTCACTTAAAGGAGTTTCATACTTCACTCAGTTACCTGTAGTTATCCTTGGGTGACATTGTCTTTAATTCACACTGTGAATCATACATTGCCACACCGAAAAACAATTGAGAATTAGAAAAAGACTTTTAACCCAGGACAAATCAGATGTCAACGAATTCTATTATAATTATACTAATTTTTTTTTACACCTGTAGCCTTTGCATGGAATAGAACAAACCCTTGTAAATATACAAACTATAACTTACTGTCTGAACCATTGCATATGGTGCTAATCATCAAAAAGTCTTCTGTTTCATAGTCAGTTCTCCAAGCTGCAACTTTTTGGTGGCCATGGTATCTTAACTTGGAAGATAATTGCCAATAGTATGGCACTGAGTGTAGTATGGCAACGTGTGTAGTATGGCACCGAGTGTAGTATGGCACTGTATGTAGTATGGCACCGTGTGTAGTATGGCACCGTGTGTAGTATGGCAACGTGTGTAGTATGGCACAGAGTGTAGTATGGCACCGTGTGTAGTATGGCACTGTGTGTAGTATGGCACCATGTGTAGTATGGCACCTTGTGTAGTATGGCACAGAGTGTAGTATGGCACCGTGTGTAGTATGGCACCATGTGTAGTATGGCACAGAGTGTAGTATGGCACCGTGTGTAGTATGGCACAGAGTGTAGTATGGCACCGTGTGTAGTATGGCACTGTGTGTAGTATGGCACCAAGCCCTACCCTCCTACCTCTCATAGGAATTACAACATATACAGAAACGTGCTGTTAAAATTATAGCCCCAGCGTTTCTTACTTAGAAGCTCTTCAGTTTTTAAATGTAAGAACATTAGACGGAAGACGTAGTGAACTTTGTCTTAAAACTCTTGAAAAGATCTCAATAAGAGGTCCTCTTGTTAAACATCTCCTAATGACAAGTCAGCACATACATCACTATCAAAGGAGATGCGTTAGCAAATATATATTGCCTAAATGCAGGACAGAAAGACTGCGTCGTAGTTTTTTCCCAAGTACTAGTCTAGCGTTTAATAATTATTAGACTTTTAGACTACATATATGTTGTAGTTCAATTTTATACTTGTTTCAAATTTTATTTTCCTTTGTTCTCTGTCATGTTAATGTATGATAATGAGTTTGAAACAAAGGAAAATAAAATTTGAACCAAGGATAGAATTGAACAACAACATATATGCCCATTCAACTTGTATAAGCATAAACTTATTTGTAGTTTTATTATAAAACCCATTGTAACCCAGTCCCTCTTTCATCAACTTTTGTAATTTTTTATGGTCGTACGATTGTAACCACTTTGTAATTCAGATTAGCTGCAATGATGGTGGAATTAAACTTTCTTTCTGCTTTTCTTCTTCAATTTGGTCACCCATGTTTAGCAGTTATGTAGCATGTTGTTGGTAATGTTTTTAAAACTTATTTTGATTACAAGTTTATATTTTCTTTTTTCCCAGATATAGGTTATTATAATTTGTAAATGTAGAAAAATGTGAATTAACATACCTGTTGTTTGAAACCGTGTTATCTGATTTTCAAATTTAACTTGACAATGTGAGTCTTTCCAAAAATCAGTTACATGGCGACATCTGGTCTAGATGGAAAAATGAGGATCTGGGATGTAAGAACATATAAGGAACTTCAAGCATATTATACTCCAACCCCAGCAAGTTGTCTGACTATAAGTCAACAAGGATTGCTTGCTGTGGGTCATGGACCCCATATTCAGGTCAGATACTCTGAAGTGGTTTAATCTGTAAATTAAGAAATTCAACAGTTGTTGGAGTCTATGTGCTGGTTTTTAATATTTTTTTATTATTCTGATCCTTTTTGTTTTTCTTTCCTATGTGAAACTATCTTTATTTATTTTGTGGCATAAAGAACTTATTTTTTTTAAACTTTACGATGGTTAATTTTTTCATGATGTCAACATGTTGCTGCAGTGTGGTCAATACTGACCTGGACCTGTTGATGTCGATTCTAATTATGGTTACCATAACTAGATTCCACATCGACATTAGTCCAGGCTTTTACTTTCAAGCCATGGTTATTGGAACAAACACCTAAATTGACCTACAGTTTCTTTGTTTACTTAAAGTAATAAGATACTAATGAACTCAGGGCTTGACACTAACTTTTAAACTTACTAGCCAAGTACTAGTGGGTAGTGACATCTTAGATGTTACGACAATTTCAGTTTGTTGACTAGCCAAACTGGTAAGTAGAAATGAAAAACCACCAGCCAAAACTGTATTTCTACCAGTCTGTGGCTAGGTGGCCTCTGTTAGTGTCAAGCCCTGGCATTGATAGGAAAACCTACCAAAATATGCTGAGGAATAGGAATTTAATCCCATTCCAATTCCCTAATGTAGTTTTAACTCCTGTTAGAAAAACATTATGAAATATGCTCAGGGATAGGAGTTTAATTCCTTCCTAATTCTTTAATGTAATTTTAACTCTTTAAGCACTATGAGTGTCTAGCCTCTAATTTCTGCTTCCAGTAATAATGCCAAATCATTCATTAAGATGATTGAATTAACTGAGTGCTAACCTAAGAAGCTTTGATTGTTAAACAAGTTCTCCTTTCCAATATCAAAGGAAATGTATAAAGAAGAGTATAGAGAATATGGAAACTGATGCTAGGGTTAAATGTAGACTTCAGTTTACAAGCTTTGTTATTTTTGAGCCCTCACTCTAATCTTAGTTCCCATTTCCTTGTCGTTGCTGACAGATATGGCGGGATGCTTTCACTCAAAAACAAAAATCTCCCTACATGTCTCATATGTTTCCATCCTGTACTGTGCACAGCATGCAATTCTGTCCATTTGAAGATGTTTTAGGTGTGGGGCATTCAAAAGGATTTGGCAGCTTACTAATACCAGGTGAGACTGTTCATCTTTCAACTCACGTGAGTAACTAAGACAAAATTTTGCCTTACAATATCCTACTGCTAATAAAAATACCTAGTAGCATGTGATAAGAATAAAGTAACACTTTAAAGTAGCACTTTATTCAAGATATTCAAATAAGTCACAGATTTAACCCATTAACAAGAACATTTTCTTGCTTGTTACAATAATGGAGAAAAACAAACATCATAAACAGAACCTTTTCTCTTTACTTTGTTGATGACCAGAAGAATGTAGGCTCAACTCTTTAACTCCCAAGATCTGATTTTTAATTCTTCCCTCTAGCTGCTACACATTTCCTTGTAAGTAAGTCCCAAGAATTTGATGTTAGATCAAGACTACCAACTTACACCTGATAAGTTTGAGTATTTTCATTACCTGTTTGCTGGATAATGTATGGATATTATAGGGAAAAGTTACATGTTAATCACTTCTGGGAGTGAAAGAGTTAAGAGGAGCCTTTTCTGAATCTCATGAACTTTTGTTCTTCATAGAATGGTCTTTTAAAATCTAGTTTAACTAATCTGGGATATTCACTCTGCTCTTTTCAGCTCTGAAAAGTGACATTGTAGTTTTTTCTCTTTAGGTGCTGGTGAACCTAATTTTGATGCATTAGAAGCTAATCCCTACCAAACCAAAAAGCAAAGACAGGAGTTCGAAGTCAAGGCCTTGTTGGAAAAGGTGAAAAATGGAAACAAATTTACTAATCAAATAGCACAGTCTAACCTAGATTATCTGGACCTCAATTATCTAGAGTTCTCAATTGTCCCAATTTTGTCAGAACATTTATTAGACATGATCAAGATCTGTAGCCATATTCTTTTAAAAGATACAGCATTGAACAGTGAAGGTGAGGCAAATTTGTTTTGCCTTCAAAAAGGAAAAGGAGTGCTTGCTTGGGTTGTAACCAATGAAGAACATTGGAATGAGCTCTGATTGGCAAAGAGTTGCTTTGTTGCTAAGTGAGATGGGTCTGTTATTTGTAGACCATATTTTTTTCAAAATGTTTTGTAAATGTTTTGTTTCATGGATAAATGTGGCTTTCTTAATTTAATCAGTTTTTGTTCCTCATTTATAGTTATATTCTCCATTATCTGGACTCTCAATTATCCAGACTATTTTGTCTAGTTCCAACGAGTCTGGATAATCAAGGTTCAACTGTTTCTTGTCTCTGGAAAACACACCAGGAATTATGGTTTCATTAAATTTTCCCTTTATTTACTGTTGCTTACTTGCTTTAATTTGCAGATTCAGCCAGAGTTAATAACATTAAATCCAATGGATATCGTGCGTGTTAATTATCAAAAAAAGAGCACAAATATGAATGACAAAGATAATGACGATGAGGAGGTAGGTACAACTTGGAGACACGAGTGTTCCGGGTGAAATTCTTACATGTGTTTATTAATTAAAAAGTAACAATTCAACCAACAACTTATCTGCAGTTAATAATCATTCAAATGTAGCCACCTTTGCTTTTACTCAGGAATCGAATGAGAAGTTTGAACCAAGGCACAAAATGAAAGGTCGTAGCTCTTCAAGAAAGCATCATCTAAGGAAGAAGGGTCATGCGGAACAAGAGAAGAAGGTAAGTAGCCCATTGTCAGAGGTTTTTAAAGAAAACTTGCATCTGTCTGGTAGAACATCATAATTGTGGTTGAGTCCAACTGATTTTACTTGATGAAGTCCCTATGGATAAAACAACCACAGAAATTTCCACACACACTAACTTGATCCCTTCACGTTCATTTTGTCACTTATTGCAAATCAGATCTAATATCTAAGAAATAGCCACTATTGACCCTCTATAGTTGCATGTTATTTTTGGTTTCAAAAGGTTTTGTAGACATGCCCTCTACACTTTCTTGGACTCTCCCCAAAGGGCCATCTCAGGCCTATTTTCATTTCTACCAAAATCCTATAAAAGTGGATCTTTCTCTTAAGTGGAACCACTTAGTCAGGAGTATTGGCAAAATTATGGGCTGAATTAATCTTGCATGGGGAAAGTATGATTAAGGGTTGTAACTAAAACTGATTATTTGTAATTGTTTTTTAGTATTAAATTTGTTTTTCAGGAAAAAGTAAGACAAGAAATGCAGGAGAAAAGAAAAGAAAGAAGAACAGATAAAATGAATGAAGAAAGATCAGTACAGTCACTGTCTGCGTTAGATAGATTTCTGCACTCCAAAGCAAAGTAGTGTCAATCAACAGATATGACTTATCACTGGAACATTTTGTTTTTGTAAAACAGTTATTGTATAAAAATCGTTGCGAATTCTAACCTTAATAAAAGAAATCACCTGATCATGTGTTGGATTCAACTTGCAACTCTCTGCAACATTTAAATTACAAACTTGATGACTAGTCAAACTACTTATGGAGTTAAGTGTACTCTGGTCAGTACGAAAAAATGCAACATAAAAGAGACAAGTGAAGTTGGGGATTCAAGTGTTCTTTATTACAATTAACAGAACATTGCACTTTTAGTTCTTCTTCTTGGCCACACCAACAGTTCTTCCCTTGCGACCAGTAGTCTTGGTGTGCTGACCACGTACACGCAGACTGAAAAAAAGGAACATTTGTTATTCGTTGCCTTTCAAATTGAGTGCTTCCTTTAAATTCATTTCATTTGCGTGAAAAAAAATAACTTTGCGACTAGTGAATGTCAATCTATCGGAACAGCCATTCAGCCAAAAGACAATTTCTAAGACGTTGATAATGATTAGGATATGGGTGGATTAGCATACTTCCCATCCCCGAAAGTTAGAGGACATATCATGTAAATGGAACATTAGTACAGCTTACACATCAATTTATAACTAGTGTACATTTTATCTGCAAGTCGCCTGCCAATCCATGAAAAGTATAAAAGACGTCATCAGAAATTTTAGTGTTTAACACAAGTAAATTTTAGTCATAGTGCCCAGTTATATGCCAAAACAATTGAGCCCCTTATGGTTTTGGATTCTTTTATTTTGGAGTGGATAGAAAGCCAAAATATTAAGTCTCAGATAATCCCCTCTTAGAAGTAGTCACATTGAGTTCCACAAAACTAAAATCAAAACATACCCCCAATAATGACGGAGCCCACGATGAGCACGGATCTTCTTTAATCTTTCCAGATCATCACGGAGCTTGCTCTCAAGATTCTTGGCAAGGATCTAAAACACAAATTACTACATCATTTAAAACCCTTTTATAAAAGCCTTGAGTGGAGGCACGGTGGCCTCATGATTAGTGTGCTCTACTCTGGAACGAGTGGTCCGGGTTTGAGCCCTGGCTGGGACATTGTGTTGTGTTCTTAGGCAAGACACTTTACTCTCACAGTGCCTCTCTTCACCCAGGTGTATAAATGGGTACTGGCAATTTAATGCTGGGGGTAACCCTGCTATGGACTTACATCCCATCCAGGGGGGAGTAGAAATACTCCTAGTCGCTTCATGCTACAGAAATCAGAGTTAAGCACCAGCCTAATGGGCCACTAGGCTCATAAACAGACTTCACTTTTTACTTTTCTTATAAAAACCTTGAACATAAAATTCCAGTTCAGTTCAAATACCTGCGAGTACTTGCCATCTCTGATGTCCTTCTGCCTGTTAAGGAACCAATCAGGAATCTTGTACTGACGGGGATTCTGCATGATAGTTACCACACGCTCCACCTGCAGCAAAAAAGCTGCTGCTCTTAACCATGTACAGTAACCTCTTAGCAAATACATTGTATGCAACTGATTAAAATTCATGACAGCAACCTTCTAAACAGAAGTCAGGAAGTCCAGTTCACGCTTTAGTTTGATAAAGTATGAGAATGATGTTCAGGACACATTTGATTGAAAGCTGAATATCACAACCTACTGGATAAATCATTGACTGCTGAGTAGGGCAATTTAATAGTTATTACCTGGACAGTAATTTATGAGTATACCAATTTATGGTACAAACAAACCAGAACCGGAAGTGTAATAGGGTTCTAAATGAATTTCTGATAATATACACTATCGAGACCTCATAATGGAAAACCTCTGGTAGTGTGAAGCCATCATCAGTTACTCTTAAAGTAAACAAAAGATTCTGGCAACAGGATGTCACTACATATCAGAAAACAAAGAATTCTTTGGCTACCACAGAGTATTATCTTGTTAAATTACAAGGAATTACAGCCTCACCTATATTTCTTCCAGACTAGAACAACATTCTCCTCTTACTTTACAATTTATACCCTTTTCAATTTTAAAACCCTGTGGCTATGACTTAATTTCAACAATTCTGTACATAACAGCTCTACCTCATCGTCTGTGAGCTCTCCAGCCCGTTTGTTCATATCAACATCAGCCTTCTTACACACAAGGTTGGCATACCTTCGTCCCACACCCTGCAAAAATTTTAACTTTCGTTATGTTTGTTCCACAATACTAATATAGCACATCTTACAATGTCACTTTTTTCATCACAATGTTTGGAACACAAGGGACAAACAAGGAAAAACTAAGAAAAAACATAGGAAAACCACAAGTCATTATGGATACTGTTAAGCTCATGACTCCCCAAACAACATCAATTGTGTACTGAACAATAAAAATGATGTTAATACCCAACTAATTACCACAGTTGTTAGAGGTTTAGTTTTAAGATGGCTAGTTGGCTTGTTTTTTGGGAAATAAAACCATCCCCAGAATATTTTTGGTATTCAAAGTTAACTATGCTTCTGACGCAATGATTCCATACTAATGTAACTCTGTTTATGCTCCTCTTCAAATATTATTATAACATAACCAAAGTAAAGCACATGCTCTGATTGGTCAAATTAGCGTCCCCCATTTGCCCATGGGTGTATGCTGCTGACGTGAGCATATGCAAAGACTAGTTTTCCGCGCGTGCTTGTTTTTTTTCTGGTCACGTAAGATTTGTTAAATAAAAGGGAACTCTTTAGCTA